AAGCACAACATTCACTCAGCGTTCGGGCGGGGAGAGAGTAAATCCTATCCCCAGGCCTGACGGGATAGCCAGATTTTGAGGGCCGTGCGGAAGGCAGAAGAAGAAGGCATTTTAAGAGATAAAATGGGTTTCTTGTGCATCTGCAATATCAAAGACACCTATTATTTTTTCCTTTAAACTAACCGCCACATTTGGACCCAATTGGGTTTCGGGTGGGATTTTGGGCCACAAAATGAATGCTGGCAGGTTGCAAAGGGTTCCCGTACCACTATCTTTGCACCACCAAGTCGAGGAAGCAGGGGCAGGCCAAGAGAGCATCAGTTTTTGACAAACAGATACTCCTAGACTTACACCCTAGTTGCTTAGCGACTATTCCAAACTACAGTCAACTCAAAAATGGGGACTCACAATTTGGATTTGAAGCACTAACAGTCAGGCCCTCTCCATGGTCACACCATGGACCTATTTATTGCCATTTGCAGCATCTCTTGGTCACATGACTATGTTTGCCAGTGCCAACTGACACTTCTAGTTTTTGGGGAAACTATTACCCTAGTGCAGGGGGTCACCAATCCCCAGGTTGCAGCCCACTACTGGGCCATGGCCTGTTCAGAACCAAGCTACATGAGAAGTTGACTGGTGCATGAGTGTCCCTGCGACGGGTTGGTGCGCAGATGCACCAGTCAACTGCTTATGCGTGTCGGTTCCCCCCTCCTCATCCCCTCCACGAGGCCTTCAAGCCCTAAAGATTGGGGACTGCTGCCCTAGTGAACCATTGGTTTGTTTAACAACTAACATTCAACTAACAACTAACATTCGCTTAATAACTGCTGCATTCACTTTATGACTTGTTGCATTTGCTTAATGAGCCCTGCAAAAAAGGCCACAAAATTGTGACTGATCCATTTGATGACTGTCGTGACATACAAATATAATAGAGCCTGCCCATTCCTATGGCAAGAAGTACTCATATACTCAAAGAGCCAGGGGGCTGAGTGGAGAAGCTCAGGAGTGTTCACCATGGATCTGTTTTTGGAGGACTTAGGATGTTCCCCTTGAATCCTGAACTTCCAAGCTGTGTAATGTAATACCCTGTTTCTCCCAAAATAAGACCTCCCCGGATAATAAGCCCAATTGGGCTTTTGAGCGCACATGTGCTAAAATAAGCCTTCCCCAAAAATATGCCCTCCCTGAAAATATTGCAACACAGCAGCAGCCATGAGGTGACCACGCTCACCGCTTCCTGCACCTCAAAAATAATAAGACTTCCCTGAAAATAAGGCCAAGTGCTTATTTTGGGGGGGTCAAAAGAAAATAAGAACCTGTCTTATTTTCAGGGAAACATGGTACTTCTTTACAGAGAGGTCAAATTGGCATTCACAAACAGGTTAGTGGGACCTGGTTCCCCACGAAAAACCATTTGAGTTGAAGAGTTGAGTTGATCAGGTGCCATGTAACACACCTGTTATATCCAGAATCTGCAGAATCAAAACGGGGGTTGATTTCTGGTTTGCTGAATGGCTTGGTGACTTGGTTTTTCTCCCCTCCTAAAGATTAGGCTGTGATTAGCTGTGGCGTTGCCACTAAACATCTTCGTGTTTCTTCCTTGCAGGTCCACAGCTTATAACTTCAACCCGAAACCTGCTAATCCCAGCTTCCTCAGCCATTCCCTGGTAGAGCTCCTGAACCAAATTAGCCCCACTTTCAAAAGAAATTTTGCAGCTCTACAGAAGAAACGGTAATTTTTCTCTATTAGCCTTTTATAGTCGCTCTCTTCCCCCCTCTCTCCCTCCCTCTCTCCCCCTCCCTCTCAGTCTCTTCCTCTCTCCCCCTCCCTCCCACTCTCACACACACTCCCCTTCCCTCCCTCCCTCTCACTTTCTCTCTCCCTCCCTTCCCCTCCCTCCCTCTCCCTCTCTCTCCCTTCCCTTCCCCTCCCTCCCTCTCACTCTCTCTCCCTACCTCCCACTTTCACACGCTCCCTACCTCCCCCTCTCCCTCCCCCTCCCTCATTCCCTGTCTCTCTCACACACACACGTACACACACACCCTTTATGCATTCCAGCTGATAAACATTTTTTCATTTGTTGTTTCCTTTCCATTCTTTGTGTTACTTTTTAGCATTTTAAGGATGCACATTTTAGCATTTTAAGGATGCACAATTTATTATTTATCAGATGTTTATCCCTGCCTTTATTACTTCATAAGTAACTCAAGGAAGTGCACATACTTGTTACTCCTTCCTTTTTCCTATTTTCCCCACAACAACCCTGTGAGGTAGGCTGCACGGAGAGAGAGTGACTAGCTCAGAGTCACCCAGACGTTTTTCATGCCTAAGGAAGGATTAGAACTCACAGTTTCCTGATTTCTAGACCAATATCTGACATGAAACTGGCTGTTTAATTATTTTTTACATGTTTGTTTGTAATTCTTGCTTTTTGCTGGTAGACAGCACCCAAGGCAGATAACATTAAAAAAAACGCACAAAAATACTTAACATCTCATTTCTAAACCCACATTGAAAAAGCCTATCTGGAGAATAGTTATTATATAAACACATATGCGGCTGAATCATTTGGGCTCTTGATAACATACAACAATCAAGTACAGTAAGAACTTCCACAATGAAGTAGGAAGTGTCAAACTCAAGGCCCATGGGCCGGATCCAGCTCGCAGGGTGTTTAGATCTGGCCCGCGGGGCCGCACTGGAAACAGCAAAGGGTTGGCCTGCAGTGCCTCTGCCAGTGAAAAAGGAGCTCGAGAGGGCCGTAGGCCGTCTCTGTTTTCAGTTATGACGGCCTCCTGCAGCGCTTTGCCAGTGAAAATGGAGCCTGGGAGGGCTGAGCGCAGCCCTCACGAGCTCAGTTTTCACTGGGAGACTGCTAGCAAAACAAACTACTAGCGAAAGTGGCATTTGATCACAGGAGGGATGTTGAGCTGGCCACGCCCACCATGGCCACGCCCACCATGGCCCCCTGAGGTCAAACACAACCCTGATGCGGCCCTCATTCAAATCGAGTTTGACACCCCTGAACTAGAACAAAACATCCACAGTAAAGGAAAAGAAAAACAGGATTTGTGAAAGAAGAACCTCACAGTCAGCCGAGTTACCGCAACTTTTAATTCCATTTTTAAACAATCTTAGTTTGGAATTTGTAGGCTATTGGGGGGGAGGGGGAGGTGTGTTTTAGAAGAGTGGTAATGATGTGTTTCATTTTATTCCAAACCAGGGTCCAGAGGCACCCACTAGAGAGAATATCCACCCCCTTCCAAGTATACACATGGACAGCTCCTCTAGCCGAACATGCCATGGATTGTGTGAGGGCAGAAGATGCTTACACCTCTAGACTGGGCTACGAAGAACATATCCCGGGACAGGTAAAGACACACCGGGCTTTGTGGATCTCTTCATTTACTTTTACAGTTCGTCTCTATGTTCCATTGATTCTTACCGTCTGTGAGGCATCTTCTGTTCTGAATCCACTGCCCAAACACGACTAAACCCTCTGAAGTGAACTCAAAAGATTCCTTTAGTAGGAGTGCAGGCTGACAAATTCATCCAGCTGGGTGATGAATACTTGTCTGCCACATCTGTTCATCTCCGCCCTCTGCCTTTTATCCTCAGAGCTAGGGTGGAGCTTCAGTTGCAGTGGTGGCTCTTCCATCCCAGAGATCGGCCCGTAGGTTTCCACTGCTCTCCTCTCCTCTGCCTTCTACGCGTCCGCGTTTCAGGCATTGGACCCAGCTGTTCCTCCTCTTCTTCATCAGCCACCTCCAGACCTGGGAACCAGTGGTGGGTTTCAAAAATTGTTCAAACCTACTCTGTGGGAGTAGCTTGCCGCCCATGTGACCGGATATGAAGATGCCGACGACACTTGTCAGAACCACCTTCAATTACCTCACACACAGCACTGGCATGCATAAGAAT